TACAAATTACTATTTTCGGAAGCGATTTGATCCCAAGCACGTGCTATTCAACACCTCGTCATGGACATATACATATGTATGTATGTAAACACATAAGTATCACTTGTATTTAGATGCTTCAACGCGCACACTAGTAAAGCCCAACCAACTGGAGGAGGATAACGAACGAGAGCACCATACACCAACATTCAGGGCAAACAAGTGGGCCCAAGAGAGAAGCATATACATATATATTTGTATTTATATACACGTATTTGTGGTATCATTTCTTTTCTGTGGTTAGTCAGTTAGAGTTTTGTTTGCCCAACGCTTTGGTTTCTTAGCAGTGATTTTCGTTTTCCACTTTTTTGCACTTTAATGTCTGCTTATGCTTGTGGCTTATTTTTCCACTTGAAGCTACGAGTATCTCATGCTTACCACTGAGCTTTGTGTGCGTATAACAAACATATTCTGCCACTGACAAGACAATTCAAAACTTTTAATAATGATGTTATTACTTGTATATCAAAAATAAACACAATTCCCGTCTTTGAAGATTTTTCTTTATGTGAATTCAAGCGCCACAAAGTACACACACACACACACACACACACACACACACTTATATTTGCTTGTATAAATATATTTGTAAGTTTGCTGGCTCACATGATTGTTTGCATATTTATTTTTCAAAAGTTTTCTTCTCCAACACTGACCATCTTCTCACACGCACACACACACGCAGACACAGGCACACACAGATTTACTCCTTAATGTCCACTCTTGTGTGGCGGTGGCGCTTGAACCTTTTTGTGATCCGAATGGTGAGTGGGTTTCTGTTTACTTTCCACTTTGTTTTTCTATTTTTTGTCTTTCTCTATTTTACATATTTCTATGCGCTTGTTTACCTTAGTATTCTCTATCGACATGCTTTACTGCTCTTTTATCTTCATCGTGCCACTCTGCTCTTGCTCCTGGCAAAGATAATTTACAGCCATCGCTATTCTTAGGGACTAAAGGAATTTTGTGTTTCTAATTTGCTTTATTATTTTGCTTTTTTGTTTTGTTGTGGAAAACAGGTAGTCGCCGTTGTCTTTGCTCACTGTGTTCATTTGCTCGTTTAAGCGTATGCACGAATTGTATACACCTGTAGAGTAGAATTGTCGAAGAGTACAACGAACTACTCATCCAGAGCTGAAGAGGATGGAAAAATCTATTTTTTTATTTCCTAAATACTAAAAAACTGTTAGTGTTGTCGAGCCATTGAAACTCTAATGAGATTTTTTTTTAGTAAAATATCAATAAATGACATAAAAATTTAAAATTTGCTAATTTGTGAGCTCCCGTACGGAAGGTCATGGGTTCAAATCCTGACCAGACCACAAAATACAGAAAATTTGTTTTAAATTAACTTTTGTAATAACTCCTCTGAGAAGAGCTCTGAGGTGAACTAAATAGGTCATCATCAAAATTCATCAGAAGTTTGGAGCGGCTAAGAATTAACTGTTACTCCATTTATTAGATATCAATATGTACACTACAAAATGGAGATATAACTTTAAATCTAGTGCCAAATATTTGTAGCAATACAAATATATCGTGCATGCGATGAAAAAAGGAATTGAGAGGTTGCCACATTTTTTGAAATTCTAAGAACATTTATCATCATGTACCTCAATACAGTTGTTAAGCTAATGAACTAGGAGGTTTACAGTTAAAAATAGAAAAGCAATTATAAAAATATTTTTTTTTTTTTTTTTGAGATTGCCACCCTTTCAGAAATTAAAAATACACAATAATCGGTTATTGTACTATGTGCAGATTGAGAATATCTTAAGAAGGGCTGACGCTTAGCTCCGAATTCTAATTTTGTATAATTAGGCAAAAATCGCGCCAAACGGGTAACGAAAAAGAAAAAGGTAGGGTGTGCTTAAAGCAGAAAAAAAATTCAAATGAGCTAAATCCTGCATGCTAAGAGTAGCCACCTAATATATACTTCACACTGATTTGAGGCGAAAAAATATTTTAAATGTGATCAAATTTAACTAGGAAGAAGAGTAGTGTTGCCATCTTGTAGAATAGCAAAATTGAAATATGTAGGAAAGTAAATAAATATTCACACGTGTATATTGTAATAATATACTTGACCCTAGGGGCATATACTTTTTATAACGTAATCTTTCAACTTTTTCCTTTTTATTTACTTTCTGGCAACACACTAAAGTCCAAGAGCAGTTTATATTTTAGGCCACCTGCCCTCAAGCTTTTAGTGTGTCCTTTATCGCTCGCCCAGGAGAAAGCAATCTTGTTATGATGCTTTCACAGTTACTATCGCATCACTCCAAAAGTGGATCACTCAAGTAGTCAAACAACTTCGATGTAAGTGTGTGTGTGTGTGTCCCGGCAGGTCAACCGCTTGTTGAAACTGTCAACATCTTTTAGACTGTTGCATCTCCTCCACCTCACCTGCCACAGGATTTTTGCGCCATCTTTTGCTTGTTTTCCGTGTTTTTTTTTTAATGAAAATATTGCTGGGCGTTGTTTGGCAGCACAACAACAACAACAACGACACTTCAATGTCCCACTTTATAATTGAATTGGACGTAAATTTACTGAAATATTTTTCCACTTAAAACAGCAAAGTACATAAAAACACAAACACACAAACAATATGCACAACAAAAATTCCACTAGAAATACGACAAAAAGCAAAGGAAAGCGTTATTAAGTGAGTTGAGTTTTGTCGTTTATTGAAAAGACTATCCTTGACTTTGAATTGGCGGTGTATTTTGAATGCCACTACATTCACAATAACAAATTTTGTATACTCAACGCGCTCAACTAAGCAGCTGCTGGCACGGTTAATGTCGCTTGGTCTCAGCGGCTATCCAAGCGTTGGTGTGTATCCGTGTGCCAAGTGTGAATTCCACTTCCATGGCTGTCTGATGTCAAGTGCCGAATTAATGCTTGTTTATATATGTACGTACATCTAGTATAAGCATCCCATAGCCATACAAATGTACATTAGAGCTTTGCAGATATCAGGAGCGCCAGCCACAACGAAGACATCAGTGGTGCGAAATTCAAAACATTCGCGCATTCGATATTCATGAAATCCCCATCGCCTGGTAAACAGAAAAACGGACAGACACATTAGAGAAGTTCCGGAGAAGCGTGTAAATAGCAGACAATTATTTATACAAATTTAATGTTCGAATGTAAAAGACTTTTTAACGCTTTTGTTTACTTATGCATAAGTAATTGATATAAAAAATTGAAAAATCAATTGTTTGCTACTATTTATAAATAAAAGCATTATTGTTGTTGTATGCCATTTCTGAATTACCAAGCATACGCTGGGAGTTCTTTTTTTTGATTGCCTCTCGGCATATCCGTTAGTTGTGTACATACTGGACGTATAAAAATGTAATATATGTATGTGTATATATATACATACATACATACATGCGTATATACACCGAGGCGTACATAAACGAGCAGCAGAATGTGTTTTGTTTAGTTTTGAGCCAATTTCACGTATTTAACTCAAGACGTGTTCATGTATGTATGTATGTATGTATGTATGTATGTATGTTACGCTAGAGTAATATTGATTTAATTAAATTGATAGTTTACCCAATTAATTAATTTTCCTTTTTTTATGGATATCATTGTGTGGCCAAATTGTTTTCTTTCCCTCATTATAGTTTGGGCTGATTGTTGATGGAAGTTTTGGAGATCTATACATGCGACTACATACACATGTACATATGTGTTTAAGCTTAATGGTTTCAAGGAAAACAAATTGTTTACGTGAAAATGTGGCAGAAGCAACAAAAGAAATATTTTTTTATATTGAATCAATGGAAGTAATAATTACAGTTGTGAGATTCATCGCTTTTGCTAAATAGATTCGAAAAATCAAAAATAAGAAAGTATTTAATAACAAAAAAATACTAAAATTCTGGACAGAAAGAAATTCTCCAATATATGACAGGACCTTCTTATGTGCAATTTACATTCTGAAAGCATTTTTTCAATTGTTAATGCCAATATTTCTTCCTCTTCGGAATGATGTCAAAGAATTCAAGTACTATCAGAGATGATTTTTGAAAAATGTTTGTGAAATATTGGGTCGCCCCTAAAGAAACCGACGATTTTTCATACGGACAGCGTTGATACTTCTTTGAACAGTTTGGCACTTTTAGCTTGCTTTAGAAAAGAGGATGCGTAAATTTGTTTATATTTGTTTGTTTGGCGTTATTATCTCAAAGGAAAAAATGCAGCGCTGCTCCCTAAAAAGTTGCCTAATTTGTGTAGTGATGAGGTCTTAAAAGAAGCACAGTGTCCCGGTTGGTTCGTCAAGTTCCGATCGAAAGCTACCATGGTCCAAGCATAATTAAGCACTACAGACCACTTCAAAGGCTGATATTCACCAAAAGTAGATTATAGTGTCAGTTTGGTGGGCTTGGAAGGGTGTGGTATATTTTGAGCTGCTTCCAAGGTACTAATCGTTAGGTTCCTGATTTGGCTCGGATGTCTACTGTGAACAATTGGACAAATTGAATACATCCATCTACGAGAAGCGGCCAGAATTGGTCAATGGTAAAGGTGTCACATCTTTGGTCACTCGCCGAAAACTGAGAGCGCTTGGCTGGGAATCGTTGATGAATCTCCCGTATAGTCCTCAGCACCTCAGACTACCATTTGTTTCGATCTTTGCATAACTCATTAAATGGTAAAACTTTCGAAAAAGACGACGCTATAAAATCGTACTTGATTGAGTTTTTTTTGCAGATAAAGACCAGAAGTTTTATGAGATCGGAATGATGAATTTGCCGGAAAGATAGCGAAAGGTCTTAATAAAATTTAAATAAATGCTTTTACTTCCTTTTAAAAAATTGCCGGGTTTCTTTGGGGCCATTGCACCTTAACGGTATCTTTTGAAGAACGCTATTTTGGAGGAAAACCTCTTTCCTGCAAATTTATACTTTTATACATACACAATAATTACTACTTACTTGAAATTATGCAGGAGGGAACATTTAGATCACTTTAATTCGCCTAATTTTCTTTTAAAATTAATTTAAATATTTATTTAATGGGGACTTTTCTTTTCCGGTTTGTGCTCTAAACTTGCTCTTTTATACCGGAATACTTATTTTCATACATTTTTCTGCCAACTGAATCACTACATTAATTTTCCTTTTACTTGCCTTTTTTAATTAAACCAAGTTTTTGCACTTTTCTGAAACCCAAAATGAGGGCATCTGGCAGTTGCTTTTATATACACGTGTCGATTTAAGAATATTTATATTTTTATATAAATAAATTTCACTTAATCTCATTCAAACCACTGCTCTCGCGGGTAAATTTATATTTCAATTGAAATTTTTTAATTTAGTATTTTTATCTCAAAACGATTTAATTGAAGTGCGTCATTGCATTATGATTAATTGTTATTATTATTATTTCTATTAAAACACACGATTCTAATTTTTGAACAAACAAATTGCTGTACACATTTGGTGGAGGTGTTACTTTTTATTTTATTTAGAACAAGACTTGCTTCAATCAAAACTAAGCAAAATCGCCATTGATTTCATAATTTTAGTTTTTTTTTAATTATCATAATTTCATAATTAAAATTAATTAAAACACTAACTTCTTTGTTAAATAGAATAACAATTTCCGAGTTTACAACTATCGCTTATCCGCTAACTGCTTGAATATTTCGCGGCAGCTCGGCAAAGACTGAATTGCGCCATCACTTGAAGCTCCAACTGTAAAGCAGCGAGCATCACACAACGAACGACAACTTGTTCGTTGAACACGCTGCGTTTGGCGCTTGAAAGACAGCGCCAGACTATCAAACATCAAAGCACAACATTTCTTAGCAACATTGAGAAGCATAGCGTATGGGAGGCGCTGCTGGCAACAATTTTTTGCGGACAAGGTACAGGGGGGAGGAGGTCCTAAGCTCGTGGGAAAATGTATTGTTAATGTAAAAGGAAACTCAGTATTTTCTTTTCTTTGTAGTCTCCCTCGAACTAAATTTTTTAGTTCTCTTACAAAAACAACATAGTTTTTGCCAACTTTGAACAGCACTTTTCCGCCTCCGCTAATTTTTCGGATTTCGTTGTGAACATTATTAGATTGTAATCAATGGATCTCGACCGCATTAGCCGAGACCAAGGTTCGAGTCCTTGGCCGACAAACGTCTAATATCATAGAAAAGTTAACGGAAAAGTTAACCATTCTTCTCTACCTAGGCACCATGAATGTTCGATGGCGATCTCTTTGCCGAGATGGTGTAATTATTGAGTACCACATTCTTCTTTGCTTCTCCCGACATAAGTGCATGACTCTGAAAATATTGTCATTCTTCAATTGATTTCTTGCGATTTCCCTATGAGTTTTTGCCACTTTTGTAGAAATTAATTTACTTTGGCTTTAAATTCATAAACAATTCTAGGCATAATAAATATTTTATAAAACTATCCGCAAAATCTGAAAAATAAATATTTCTTTGCATAAGTCCTCAGCCACATTTACAGCAACATCCGTTCAACACAACCACTTGGGTGGGCTTTCATGCGCGGTGAATGTTTGATCAACAACAAAATACACGTGTTTTCCGATAAGCGTCTTTTCGAATGTTATTTTTAATTGAACGCTGGCTCACTTTTGTGTGCTGTCATGCTTCGGAAGGCGGCCGGCACTTTGGTTGTGTTTTGTTCGTTCACTTCGCCGGCTGCAACGGATCAATTGTACAGCCACAACATGTTCGAAGGGTGGTGGGTTGTATGTAACACGCCAAGTGTTGTCATACTCACTGAAAGGGTAAAAATTCGGCCGAAAGGGATAAGTGCATGGAAAAATTGCTGCAAATCTAAGGTTGGTATAAATATAAAAAAAAATTTTTTTTTCAAGTTATTTAAGAAGATTTGAGTTAAAATGAGGATAGTTTAGTCCATGATAAAATACCCATAAGGTGAAAATCACTCAATCCAATGAAGTTCTTTCTTGAAGTTATACATATTAAGAAAGACCTCTCGTAAAATGACAAAGAACAAAGAAAACTAAATTAGAAACGAATTAGAATTTCTATTTATTTATAGAAAATAGCCATAATAAATGAGAAAGATGTCTGAAACAAAAAGAAGAGGATACTAATAATTTGGAATGCAGAAAATTAGTATTATTTTCTTTACATACTTCCCTCTAACCTTATATTCAAATTGATATTCAAATAATACAGAGCTTTTAAACTTATTCTGGAGCTCCACATATACATATATTATATATAGTATATATATATATATAATTGGTGCTTTGTAACCGCTGAAGCGATTTTCGGCCGAGCTCCTACTCCGATTTGTGGTTTTGGGTCTTGATGTTTTACCAACAAATAGAAGAACCTCCACTTTATACCGCCTCCTAACGGTCTCACGACTTATTAATGTTAGAAATATACTCGGAGGGGTTTACATTCCCTGCCGAGGGGCGATGGCTCTTTAACTTAATTTCTTTGTTTTAATTAATGTTAAATAACTTTTAGATATTGGTCATACCAGGATTTGAACCCGCCCGTAATGCTTTCTACTCGGATATCGCGGCCGCCAACATATGTTTTTTAACTTAATTTTGTAAAATTTACGATGTGTGGGGATTGGGTTTCTGGGAATTTCTGGTCTCCGCACAAAGTAGAAGTAGAATTCCCTAATACTTTTCACAATTTCATTTTCAAAAATCTTGAGAATTAATAGGTAATCCTCAAGCCAAGTGGCGACCTACGTCGATCTTTTAACTAAGATCTCCACAAATCTACTATGTCTTGATTTTGTTATTCTTAGAACAGTTTTTAGCACCGACTTCGCCCGCATAGCGTTATCGTTTTACAAGCTATTTCTTTACTATAACCACTATTTTTTAATACTTATAAAATTTATAAAATATCTGAATAGGATTTTCCCTATAGATCGGTCCGAGATCCACTTTCCGGAGCAATTTATATTTACGTTAATATAAAAAAGGAGTTACATATATAGATATATTCGAGATTTAAAACAAATCAAATCCTAATTACGATCCTTTTAATCGGTCCCAGGCCACCTCCCGGAAAGTTCTCACTTATCAGCGGGTTTATTAAACAACTTCTATTAGAATTTTGTATTTTTCTATTACGAGTACCCAAGTAACCGAAATTCAGGAACGAGTAGAAAAATTCTGCATCTTTTTGATATAAGAAAGTTCAAAAGGTAGGTTTAGAACTTGAACCGTGGAAATATAATATTAATACAAGTTCAAAGCGAAAAGGATTTAACATCAATGAACTATTTCCCGCTTGCTTGTATATTACTTTTAGCACAGACCTTCAAACGACATAGTTTGGCTTTACACTCGAAAGCACCGAATGTCTTAAGCTCTAAAAGCATTTATCCTGGTTGTCACTACCGTCTATAGCAAGCTTTTAACAACCGAATAAGCTTTTGCTTTGAATTGAAGCAACAACTTTCAAAGTTTCTGTGAGCTTTTTTATATTTCTTCAAATGCGCACTTTTACAAAACTCTATAGCTTAAGGAGAAGCCAACTTCCTGTCCAGCCTTGTAGTTGCCATCGCTGTTGAAAGTTATCGCCAGTGGTCCTGGGTTGGTGCCTGCAATATTTCCAAGGAATTAGTCTATGAAATTTCAATTAATACCGTTATGTAATTTTTACTTGTCACTATGTCGCCCTGTATGCTGTCACCGCAAAAGTATGTGGCGCGTATGTTGCTGTCCACAATGGTTGCTTGTGGCACCATCAAGTAATCTTCACTCACTCCTGCGGCAGCCAGCTGTGGACGGCAGTAATTATCTAATTCCTGAAATTTCTGCCGCTGGTATCCGGTGCCTAATCCAAAGTAGCGCGCGTTTAATCTGTAAGCAAATTTACCGTTAGTAGTTAAACCCAGCATTGTTTGCATTTGCTTAAGCTCATTTACTCGAGAGATTGAGTCGATTGCTGACGTCGGAAGCAGATCGCATAGTTCATATTGCCTGGATAAACACCTGCGCCGCCATTGAAGTTGAAGGAGGTAATGTTGCCAGTGGCATAGGGGAAGTACTGCAAGCAATCAGGTGGCGCTACAAAGAAGCCATCCTTGATACCAGCGCGTGGCTGCACAGCGCGTTCAATCGCCTCCATCTGTTCGTTCTCCACTGCTAGAGTCGCTAAGCCGCTACGTATAGCCGCATCAGAGGGACACTCCAATTGCGTGACAGCCATTTTCCAACTGGGTGTGGGCAAGTTTCCACCACCACCAGCGCGTACCGCCAATACAATACTCAGATCGATGTTCTTAACGCCCGCGGTACGATTGAATGGCACGTAGATGTGCTGCGCGATCTCTGTGCCGCATAGTTTCAAACCGTTCACCGCGAAATAATCTTTTACGCACTGCACATACCACAAACCGTTTTGCTCGTCCGGTACTGTTGGCTGGGCCAGCGTCATTGCGAAATCGATGCGCAGCTGACAGACATTACTGCTGTAGGCGTTGATGTGGTAAATGCATTCGCGTGGTGGATTCGTCGGCTGCAAGAGCTCAATGTTTTTCGAGGAGGAGCTGCCGCCGCAATTAGGTTTCGCAGCAGCCGCGGTGGTGGTGGCGATGTGAGCGGCGAATGCAGCGAGTGCCAGGTATAATAAGCAACTGTTGTTGCTCATACTTAGTATTCCAATATAGATTCCAATCAATGCAATTAACCAGTGGCCATTTGTGAGTAATTCTTCAAAGTAAGATCGTTAATAATCAACTAATTTCCAGCGCCAAGTGAGCTAGCTTTTTATTGCCCTTGAAACAGTTGCGGCTATCAGCTTGCTACATCTTACCGTTATCTTGTTTTGTTATCGCAAGTGTAGCTTTTTTGTACGTTACGTGTTACGTGGGGTGAGGACAGTAATTGTCTTGTCACTCAGCTCTTTTAGAAGATGTTTCAGTGATGGTAGATAAACTAGTTGTTGGTGGTTCTCTGTTAGAATTGCCCAAAAATGCATCGATTCGTTATCTAATTAAAAATGATTGGGCTTTTTCGGGTGGGTTACACAAACATTTCGCAATCTGAACATCAGAAGGTGTTTTTGTGATTGCTGAAATTTAGGAAAACATTTCGTTTTCATCTGAAATATTTAAAGGTAAATAAAAATTATTTTTTTCTTAGTTGATTTGGCTTGTTTCTGGCGCAATGTTGTTTCCTACAAAGCGTTTCATGCTCTTTATTTTTCTCGTCGCGTCGTTCGAGAAGTCAGTGTCGCAAATATGTAAGTTAATAAAGTCAAATTGGAGTAAAAGTGAAAATTGTTAACAAAGCTGAGAATCCGGCGCGTTCTGTTAGATAGAAGCGGATCGCATCGTGAGGGTGTTCAAGCCGCTAGTATCTGCCTCCCTGACCTGCTCCATAGAGGGCGTTCTACGTAACTGGATGAATATCACGGATGTGCCTTCAACCGCCGCCCAATTAGCATTTAAATGGTTATGGCGAGCATCATGTGTATACTTGCTAGAAACAAGAGCAAACTCGTTCTGTGATAATACGTGTCCAATCAGCGCACTTAAAAGTTGAAAATGCAGAATTTACATGTAAAATACTTTCACTGAATATTCACTCCAAATGTTCAATATAATATATATAATATAACCACGACAAGATTTTGCCCACTTCTAAGAACATATGCTCAGGTAATGGCAAGCAGGGCTCACAGTGGTCTTTTTCTGAAAGGGTAATGAAGGAAAAAAAGTCAGAGCTTTTAGCATACAAGTTAAGCCGTTCCGTTCGCATATCAAAACTTGACTCAACTGGGCTCGGCCAATCCTGAAAAAGATCACTGCTGTGAGTTTAAGCGACGGACCTCATGATCTTGCGCTTGCATTTCAAAAACAAGTTGCTATAAAAAAGGATAAGAATCGACGTATATATATGTAAAACACTGTTTAATTGAGTAGAAAATTTAGTAAGAAAAAAATTTAAAATAATTTAGTCGAAATACGCGGTTAAAATTAATTTACTAATGAATTCTTTTCCATCTTCTAGCAAATTTGCAATGCGGCCAAACCTCACGTTTCAAACGCACGATCTTGCGTAGTCCCGCGCAACCCTCGCCAACCTGTCAATACACGATCAGACGACAGAGCAAGCATGTCTGCCAATTACACATACAATTCCAAAAGTTTGAGCTACAACAGCCGATAGTGGATAGGGAAATGAATACCATGATTTGCAGCGATTCCTTCACTGCCGGACGTTTTACTTTGTGTGGCGAGAACACAGGACAGCACCTTTACATACCTTTCGAAGCCACAGTCGCCATGTTGAACTTTAACATACCTTCACGTTCGTCTCAGTCGAACTGGCATTTAATTGTTGAGCAATTGGAATGTCCACCTGCACCCAGTCACTTGGCTGATGGCTTACCGCCCCTCCTTAGTGGCGTGCTGAATGATATCTTTGATTTGCGTAATGTCTTCTCGAGATTCATAAATGACTTGGATTCGCTGGCGCCAGCAGGCTGTGATCAATACTACACGCAGCCCACGGGCCTAATAAAGAGTTTCAATTATCGGGATGGCCTCGGCACTTATTACATACCCAACTTGAAGTATACGATTTGCATTAAACAAACAGCAGCGCTTCAAAATATTGAGTGAGTCGGAATATTTATTGACAGCGAAAATGTAAACTTGATATTTTCTCCTACCTTCTCTAGATATACCGTAAAGAAATTTTCGCTGTCTTCGGAATTACTCACAGAGTACTATAACGATGCTTGCCATCCTATTGTCTACACAGAGGGACGCCAAAGCGACTATCTTATGATGCCGAATGCCCACTTTGCTGATAACGCCGCGTTCCAGCCAACATATTACTGCGGTCAAGGTCTGACAACTGGTCAAGTTCTGATAGGTAAGGCATTGAGATTAGAGAGCTCTGTTTACTTGACTTTATATATGTATAACTCTCTTAAAATAGGCTCGGCCCCATTTATAATGCATTTCTCTAGTGACGGAGAATGGGATTCCAGGGAGACGGGTTTCGGCATTGAGTATCGCACTAAAGGCGCTATTTAACTAAAATTATGGGTTAATCTCAATATCAGCTCTAAAATGCAATGCAATGTTAGCAAATAAAAAGAAGAGCAAAATAATCCATTGTTTATCGTTTAACTTATTAATTACTATATTAAGGGTCTGGATTATATTCGGGTAAGCAATACCTACGGAAAAGGAGGAAAAATATATCTCGGTACCAAATTGGAAGTAAGTTTTTCGTTGGGCTTGGATTAAACTCAATTGCCCCCCTGCAATTCTACACTATTTTCGGTCGACTAAATAATCGTCAACATCGGAAAGTTCGACGTTGAAAAGCTGCAATCACAACAGACTGCCGAACGATTTTCTACTCGACTTGCACTCCAGCTCTCTGACAGCCCTCATCAGCAACTCGGTAGACGGGAACTGTGGGACGACATTTCAAGCTCCCTACGTATAGCTGCAAACGAAACTATTGAACTTCGGACTAGTCGCAAAAACAGTTGGTACGATGAGGACTACCGTGTTGCAGTTGAGAGAAAACAGACTGCCCACCTCGCAACGTTGCGATCGACCACATCACGTACGGGATGGGATAGATACCGAGAGATGAAGAGGGAAGCAAGACGCATTTGCAGACAAAAAAAGAAAGAGAAGATGAGTGAGTATGAAGAGATTGAGAAGCTGGCCGACAATGGTAATGTTCCAAAATGCTACGAGAAGATACGACGACTTACAGAAGGTTTCAAGACCGGAGCAGGCTCTTGTAGGACACAAAGAGGTGATCTAGCCACCAATGCCCAGAGTATATTGAATTTATGGAGGGAAAACTTTTCCAACCTGCTGAATAGCTGCCTCTATGCCACTCTCTTAACTGCAGTGAAAGTACAAGCGCCCTACTTGAGTAGAAGACCAAATCTACTAAGATGTAATGTGTGTTCCATCACCTGACTTGATGAATTTCGAGCAGTAACTGCTCAAAGATCAAAACTGTATTGTGAGTCAAACGCTTAATAGGTGACCTTCTAAAATGGACAAAGGATATAGAACTGGAATTTAAGTGTATCGCATTTAAAGTTCTTACTGGAATTATGCTTGAAAGATTCCAGCCCGTTGTCATCAAACCTATCGGATCTTGTTAGTGGGGTTTTTTTCAATCTGTCTGATCTATCTATCATTGGCGAAATATTCACCGTTCGCTAAATGTTATAAAAGATCCAAAATCCTCTTTGACGAAGGAAAACCATTTCGCTTTATGTCTGAACTTGGCATCTCGATAAAAACAAGTTGAACTTTCCTGAGCACCTGAAGACATATCTAAGGATAGATGAATTTCTCCGTGATGTTGTTACATGAGGCGGCTTCAAAGAAGGTGCCTTCTTATCAGGAGACTCGTTTAAGCAAATGCTTGAAAAATAATACGAGCCGCAGACTTAGGTGAAGGAATTTAAGTTTTTTACAGATTGTACATTTCTGTACGCTCGTGTTGTTGACATTACCGCTCTTAACAACAGATCCGTTAGTCCTCTCCAAATATACAAAAAAGGCCAAGCTCTACAAAACTTGTGATCAACGGCGAATACCACGAACTATGAAACGCGGAGCTTTACGAGATATACGAAGAAATTGAAATAATTGAGCGAATGTGGTTACATTGGCGGTAGGAGCGAAGGAAAGGGAAGGCCTACACCATATTGTAAGGCTCATTTGGAAAATGACTGGCTCCAAAAGGCGTTAAGCAGCGCAAATAAATATGACTAGCATGTGAAGACCCCAAGTCCAAGGCCTTGGAGCCTCCACAGCAACAACAACAACAGGATATGTATACACGAAATATATATATATTTACACATACAAATATACATATATATACATATTTACACACTTATATACACATGAAGTACATACAAATATATATATATATATATATACATTTACATAATTAATTATATTCTAGAAGCATAAATTATATATACACATTTGTACATATATGAAATTTAAGCTAGGCACTAGCGTAGCGAGCCGTCGCTGTAGGGCAAAGGAGAACAGGCGATAGGCCTACCAACAAAAGGCAGTGCATAACTGTCCACCTGTAGGAAAATTTAGTATAAAAGGAGCAGCATCAGCAGTGATGGGACACTTCTGGTTGTGCTGTCATAGTTAGGATATATGGTGTGTCGTGAAAACGCTGCCAGTAGAACATTTGATAATAAAGCTACCTGTGTAACGTAGAACCATTCGCGTTGTCCTTTTCTTACGCTTATGGAAATCGAGATTATAGGAGAGACCCATAACCCAGCTGAGAGATAGCCCAGCTATAAACCGGAGAACCGTTTACATTACAAGCATAATTGGTGCTCGTCAATTTTTTTATGAATATACAATCCGTCGTTTAAAGAAAAAAGATAGTAAAATCTTCAATTTTGTATTCTTCTACTAAAGCAATTAAATTAAATATTTAAAGACCACGATTTTTTCACAGGTTTATTAGAACTAAATACTTACATACATTATTGCCTCTGTATCTAACATATATAAATATCTTCGAGTTGCCTAAAAGTAAAATAAATATTTAATTATCATATGAAGATGTAAACATTGTCGTTTTCGGAATCTCAGCAGAAACAAGAATTTTTCGCCAAAAAACCGAAAAACAAAGAAGCAAAGCGAAACAAATTAGTGACTTAAATCTAGCAAGCAAGTCAAGGGGTGTGAAATGATTGTAGAAAAAAGCCGAACAACGGTAAAAAGAATGATTTAGCTTTGGTTGTTTTAGCTTAAACCTCGGCGTTGTGGCATACATTCACTGCTCCAATAGAGACCACACAACACTTTGGGAATTAAAAAATTCCTAACATTGTGCAAATATAAATCTAAATTAAAGTTATACATAAGCACATATGTATTTATGTATGTACTTATGTGTGAGTACATACATATGTATACTCTCACATACATATTTACATGAAAAGCATGTGAATTTAAAGCAGAGCCGCACCAAGTTTTAATTCAGTAAATTCTTCCAAAATTTTGCGAGTTTGCTTATTACTTTCAGGCACTTAAAACGCTTGTAAATATTTACACATAAGAAGAAGAAGAAGAAGTAGCAGGTGAAACAGAATTTCGTCACAGTACAAACACTCTGGAAATGAAAGTGTGCGTAAGCGAGTGAAAGAAATATTTTCGGCTCTGTACTCCGCTATGTTCAGCGCATATTTGTTGTTGGATAGATGTTAAACGAGCACCAAAGCACGGTTACTCGGCTGCTCGGTTGCTCGGCAGTTCAAGTTCGATTCGGCGAGCGCTCGATTGGTGCAATGAAGAGAGATCATTGCTCAATGATATGGCTGCTGCATGCGGTATTACAGTTCTATAAAATGACAGCTTCCTAAAACTAACGGCACAGTTAGCGGTACGCGCGCGTGCGTTATACGAGTGTTGGATAAATGGTGTGAAGCACCGCCCGATTATTTAGTGAATATCATGGCAAGTTAGAAGAAGCGCTCTAATAAATATAAAACATTTTGAATAAAAGTATTTTAAAGTATTAATAAGTGCAATTAACAATAAATAAGAATAAATATACTTTGATATATTCATAAACTAAATTATGATCTGCTCAATCATCGAATCAACGCTTTATCGCGTTATAATTTTCGTTTTAATAACTGCGCGTTGCTGTTTGTGTGCCGTGTGGCTTGATAATGTCCTTTACAACAGCATAAATAACAGTTATATTTATCCGCACACAAAAATGGCGGAAACGGAGGATGTAGGCATGTTTCGTGAATCTCGTCGCAGTGCTTCGTTCGATGCTTGCACCACTAACCAAGGCACTTCGGGCACTTGCCTCTCGCGCTTCAATTGTATGCGTCAGGGTGGCATTCCGAAAGGATTCTGCAATACTTATGGCGTGTGTTGCGAAAGTGAGTAAGCATTGGGCGCTTGAACTAGTAAAGAAATATCTTTTAAATATCTGCAACTGATTAAGCTCACGTTTTTTTTAAACAAAAATGTTAAAATTTAAAAAATATAAATTCCTCAATTTTTTAACAGCGGGAAGTAAAAATTTTGGTCGAATTTTTAGACGATTCAAAGCTTATATAAGGCTGCTCGAAACTTGCTGCATGTTGTCATGTAAAGCAATTCAGGCAGCATTTTGTTAGTTTTTCGAAAATTTGGAAATCAATTTGATTTTGGAAAAAAAACTTCTGAAAATGAGAGCAACAAAGATAAACTTTCCGATATATTTTTTATGTATTACAAAATTAATATTTTGCCCAGATATCTTTTAAAGTGCTGATCTCGTCTGTCCGAAGTTATTTTCCATATTAATTTTTGATTTTGTTTAAAAAAAAACCGAAGATTATTATTTCAAATTTTTTATTTCATATTCTCTTATACATATACATATGTATGTGTTTCTTAATAATTTGAAAAAATTTTAATTTTTTTTTTAGCAAATCTTCAATGCGGTCAAATTTCAAGTTCAAAGCGCATTATCATTAAAAACCCAGTTCAACTGCCGTCCGTTTGCCAATATATCATTGCGCCGTACAGCAGCAACGTCTGTCAGTTGCTCATCGAATTTCAGCATTTCGAGTTGGAGCAACCAACCAACGATGCAACTCTCGGCACATCGACTTGCAACGACAAGTTCACCGTGGACGAGTTTGTACTTTGCGGAGAGAATACCGGCCAACACATTTATCTACGCTTCGATGTGGCAGCGGGTGCAACACAAGCCACACTGGACTTCTCTCTGCCCCGCAGATGGGCACAATCCTCTTGGCATTTGGTAGTCACACAGCTGGAGTGTCCCGCGGAGAAGAAACGTTTTGGTAGCGGCATGCTGTTGCCGTTCATGGGCCAAAGTAATATACAGGATTTGCGCAAAATTTTCTCAACCAAAAATAGTGATTGGGATTTGCTAGCGCCATTCGGCTGCGATCAGTATTTCCGCCAACCGACGGGCACAATCAAAAGTTTCGGAAATGTGTACTACATGACGAATCTGCACTACACGATCTGCATACGTCCAGTGGCGGGTTCTACGATGATAGAGTGCGTGGGCGCTAAAGCTATGGAGAGTTTTTTTTAATAATAAATTTAAAATTTCTTACCTTAGGTACACAGTGAATTCATTTTCTCTCTCTGCTGAGCGTACGGATTTGTTTTACGATGAAGGCTGCCATCCCACAATCCAGACTGATGGTCGCCAAAATGACTATCTCATGATATGGAATGCAATATTCAAAGACAACGCCGTCATGCAACCGACTTATTTTTGTGGACAGGGTCTGCTTGTGGGCCAGGAGTTGGTTGGTGAGTTATTGCAATGGAAAAAGTAAAAGAAAATTATAAATTCTAATGAATTTATCCGCATTCTCAGCAACTGCGCCTTATCAAATGTACTTCAACAGCGACGAGCAATGGGGCACTGATGAAACTGGCTTCAGCATATCATATCGGGTGAAATCGACGATAAATTAATAATTTTAGTTTTCTATGTGTACCTAAAGATGAATATTTATTATTTATACTTTTAACCTTTTTTTTACTTCCCAAGTGGGCTAAGAATGAAATATGAGAAATGTAATAAATTGGAAAGAAAGAAATTGTAAAAACTGAAACTTTGATTATAAGTTGAATAATTAAAATAAAATATAATTCATTAAAGAAATTGTTTTTATTGTAAAATTTTGCATTTATAAGCCATACCGATAAAGTACGTAATTTAAGAAAATTTTAATGCAAATTTCGTATGAAAGCAAAAACTCAATACCAAAATCTCTATATAAATTTCCATTGGACTGCGGCAGCCAAATATTTTTAAAAAATATTAAATATTTCGCTATGAATTACTATAGTACAACTGATTTAATTTTTAAAGAATGAATTAATAAAAAAAATTTCTTATAACCAATAGGCAGGAGAAATAAGGTGGAAAATTCAAGTGAAAGTGGAAAAATGGTGTTGGGGGTTAAACGTGAATTAGAGTGAACACTTCTAAAATAAATGAGAAAAATACATTAACGCACTTCTAGGCTGCGACATGATTATCCTTTTAGTAGTAATTAACTAACTAACCACATCAAGTGCCGGCCCAACAGTGAATGGCCGGCGGATGGCTGGATGGCGTGGGTGAGGTTAACTTTGATAAGACGTATGATGAAAAAGATGCTTTAATTTATATGGAACGACAGTATAAAAGTCAGGCTAGAGTGAATGTATAAAAATAAATTAAAAAAATCGGCTGATGAGTAACTTTTTACCAATAATAATTGGAAATAAAGCAATAAGCCTAAGAAGTGGGGGAAATTAATTTTTATCCATTAATGGATACAAAACTATGACAATAATAAAATACACAAAATACTGCGAATTAAAGTTAGAAATGAATAAGAATAGTATTAATGTTGATTCTTTTGATGAATGACACCCTCTCCGTTCTCAAATTTCCAGGCTTAAATCCTGGCAAATTACACTCATTCTTCTCAAACTATATCCCTGTCTTCCTTACTTCCAAAGGAAATCAGATGCGTACATAATACATATAGAGTGGGCAGGTTTTGTATTTATTTAATTTTAATCCTTCATATCTACAAGTCCCTTTAGACCTAATTATTTGATGTAACGGACTTCGCTTGAAGAATATAATGTAATGCGTTTATAGCTGTTGGTATAGTATGTACTAGTATGTATGTTAGTATGGCTGTCAAAAGCACAGCAGTAGCATTATGCTGGACAAATATGGCGTCTAATGTGCTAATTGAAACACTTGACGTGACTGGGCGGTACTTTTCTACTGCAGCAACAACACGAAGCTTATTATTATATTTTCCATAAATATTACTCTCATTCAAATGCGTTGTGGGTGGATATAAGGTTCATATTACAATAGTTGCCTAACAGAAGCACTTAACAGACAGACAACGCTTGCCCATCAAACACTATTTACAGTTTGTATTCGTGAAGTGATTTAGTCAAAAATGGCAGCCAAATATGAAAAAACCTCATTGGCGGTGGTTGAAAGTGTTCCATGCGGCGCTTTAGGAGCTCTTTTCACATTCTTGTGAATATCAAGTGGTTTTATTTTGTTATTTATTGTTGTTGTTCGATTTTAAAAATTAATTTGAGTTGTTTTGAGATAACATTGCACATATGTATGTACGAGTATGTATGTACCTTTCTAATCTAGAATATTATTATTATTAATATTAATAGTGGCATTTAGCTGAACTATTTTAAAATAAGGTCGAATGGGAGAGTTAAAATCTACGACGTAGAACAAACTGCCGAACGATTTTCTACTCGACTTGCACTCCTGCTCTCTGAGAGTACTCATCAGCAACTCGCTATACGGGAACGGTGGGACGGCATTTCAAGCTCTTTACGTACAACTGTAAACGAAACTATTTTCGTAAGATAAAGAGGGAAGCAAGACGCATCTGGCCGACCATGGTTATGTTCCAAAATTCTATGAGAAGATACGACGACTTATGGAAAGTTTTAAGACCGGAGCAAACTGTTGTAGAACCCAGAGAAATTGAAACACCCGGAGATGGTGAGCCCGAAATCCCAAACGATGACTATGGAACAGAAGTTCCGCTACCTGACAATGTCGAAGTTCGAATAGCGATTGCCCGCTTAAAAAACAACAAAGCGGCGGGAGCTGGCGGCCTACAGGGAGCGCCATTCTAATATGGCGGTGAAGAGCGAACAAGGTGTATGCATCAACTTGTTTGCAAAATATGGATGAAATAGTGCCCGATGATTGGGACCTAGTGCTCTACCCAATCCAGGAAAAGGGCGATCCCACAGTCTGCGTCAAGCGTCCCTAATATCTCATGCAAGATTAAAGCCCACCGTCAACAAACTGATTGGGCCTTAGTGTGGCTTTAGACCTGGTAAGTCAATCATTGACTAGATATTATCCACACACCATCTCTTCGCCGACTTTAAAGAAAAGGAACGGCGTAGAGACAGCCGCTATGTCTAAATTCCGTATCCACGCGAAACTTATACGGCTATGTAAACTGACGTTAAGCAACACAACACTCCTTATTGTGTGACCTTCACTCCATTGGAAAGACCAGGTAGAGAGGAACCTGGCTCTACTTATCATCTCCAATCGGCGCCAAGCGATATCTACGCCAGTGAAGTATGTAAATAAGTTTGATAACTCGCTTAACATTGCATCCTCTCGACATGAGGAAACAAAGGATCTTGAGGTCTTTGTTTTTTTTTTTGCATTTCTGACCTAATTTTCGATATGGGTCAAGCTCAATTCACACAGACCTGTAATTTAGATAATTTCAACTCGGGCCGTTATCGTGATTTTCCCTTTCACCAAATATTTTGCCAAATTCACGTTTATTACGCCTTTCTTAGAAATTGTGGTTTAATAATCTTCAATCAAAAAATTTCGCCAAAAATATTTCGCCTAATTAAATTATCTTACAACATTTCCGTTATATTTGACCAATCAATTTGATTAACCCGAATTCTACGCTTCAGCGATTGTCAGGCCGTGTAATTAAGCGCTTGCGAATATAATAAAAGTCAAAGCTGTGAAATGGAAGGAAGAGAAGAAAAAGGCAAAATTCAAAACCCTTCAAAGGCTATCCCGTTAATGGATTAGCAATAACCGTAAAAAGACTACACAGCAGCGCATACATATAAACTCATGTACATATATAATATATATGTATGTATTATATATACATTTACATATACAAATGTTCGTAGGTAAGTAAGCAACGCATATCGCTTCTATGCCGAAAAAACGACCGATCATCAATATGTCTATTCCTGCATGCTCGGTTGCAACAATGTGACTATTCAAGTTCCTCCCACTCACCCGCACATTATCTATTTGCCCATCGCTTACGGCTTGGCGGCCACAAGGCAATATTTGCATGGCATGGAATTGCTTACGAGTTAATTAGATGCCACTTTTATTGATTCATTTCATCCATCAATGGTAGACGGAAAAGGAGAAGAGAAGAAAACAGTGCTTCGATGTATTACTTGTTGTTGTTGCTGTATTGTTTTTGTTTTTTTTTTTGTTGTTGCCGCCATGAGTGGCGTTGTAGGTGTCAATTTATGCCATATCGATGAGCGCTAATTTGACACATTTCCCTAATCATCTGACCGCGTCTGCTCAATTATTATACATATGCTGTTCTTGTTTTTGTAATTGTTGTTGTTTGTTTATTTACCCACCAAGCCAAAAAGGTTCTTTCTTTTGTAAATACAAGTTTATATGTACAAATGTTTGTTGGTTGAGTAAAGTTGTGTTGGAGTAATTTTTTTTTGATTTCATTTTTTTAAGCTTATTTGAGTTGTTGTTGGTTTTTTGTTGTTGTTGTTGATGTCTAGTAACATTGCCCGCTTTTGTTCTTTTCATTCTCTCTTGACCATTTAACCGTTGTGTACCCAAATAATCTATCACTTGCCTTTTCAACGAACCGTAACCACTATTTTTATCTTGTGATGCGCTCGGCGTTTGATTTTTATTTTACCAAAATTTTTGTGGTTCCGTAGAGCAGGATGTGTCTTTGCATAAATTCGTGAAATTACTGTTAGGTTTTATTTATTATTCGTTTTTTATTTTAAATATGTCATGATTATTCATGGAAAATGTTCATTTGGGTCCGGTGGTAATTGCGTTTTGAGTGAAAAGAACCGTTACTCATATATTGGTGCATACCGTAGACACTCCTATCTCCTGGGACCATGACTTTGCATTTCCATCAAATGTTAATTTATTGTTGGATAAGAAAATCATAAAAATAAATAAATAAATCAGGAGGGCCGTTACATGAGTGGATTATTGTTCACCTTCTTGAGCGAGAAACTCAGAATTCATTTGGGCTACTCAATCTCTGTTCGGTGGACATGACAAATCGAAAAAGAATTATTTAGGAGAGAATTTTTGCATTGAGAAAAAATACATTATTCGCAAGCAAATTGGAGTAATAAAATCAACGTTAGTCTAATCTTCCGGGTAGAAGAGAGAGATTTTATGAATTAGAAAAAGATGTTAATGACCCCAATGGCTCTTGAGTAAGCACGGGGTAAACTCCATGAGAAAAATTTGTGGTGCTGTATTGGGTGGAGCTTGGAGGTGAGCTCCGGTCAATAAATTGCGCACCTACGTTAGTTCATCAAATGGGGGAAGAACGAAACCCAATACCCTAAGCAACGTGCATATCAAGAACATATTCAAAATGATTAAAAACTAATAAAAAAACGACACCATATCTGCAGTTTAATAAAAAAAATATTACTCGTAACAGGATGAACCAAAAATTTCAACTGAAACCAACACTCCCAAACTGATACACTCATACTTTTACATATTGTAAATATATATTTATATTAGGACCAGAATATTTTTCAGCACTTTTTTAAGTTGGTAGCACCGTCAACCGGTTTGTTTGCACCAGCTGTTGAAAACAGTCGATCTCAGCTCCAACTCCGAATTTCCATTTA